GGCAGGGCGGCCGTCAGCACAGGAGCTATGACTGACCACAGTGAAGGCTGGAGTTCCCTTCATATATGTAAAGTGCTTTGGAAAGGAAAGGCCTACTGTATATAAATCCAATATATTGTTCCCATTACTGTTGTCATTTATGTTACACACTTTTGATCCATTATGGTAAGAAACAATCCATCATCTTCTCTCTTTCCCAACTTTACTTAGACTTTCTTAGTAAAAATAAGTGCGCCCTGTTACTCTCACGTAAGTCTTTAGTAACTACCATCATTCCTATACTTATTATGAGGTGTTAGGCCCATCTGCACAATACAAGTTTTTTAGATTATCCTGTTTTTCTGCACTGTACTGTGCAGCTGTGCAGCACTGCATCTCTAGTACACATGAGTAAAATCTCCCAGAACATCAGAAACTAGGCCCTTGGCCTCAGTCTCCACCTATTTCCATGGGAAGTACAGTGCTTCAGTCATATCACCGTTTTAAAAATACTCGAGAGGGAAACGCCTGACAGCCGATGTCAAGAAGCATTCATGCAAAGGAGACATCACCTGAAAGTCAACCCCAGACACTATAAAGAGGGACGGAATGTGATACACAGTTTCTACGGCAACGTGCGCTGCAACAGCAGGAAGTGGGAATACTGGGAAAGGGAAAGGAGTGACAGGATCTCCCCCAAGACTCCTCATGATAGCCCAGAGATCCCCGTGCTGGCCTGAACAATCTTGTTCGGGGGTGTGCATGAGTGCATATAGAAATCCACAGCGTGTGTGTGCATACAGACCTGCACTGATATCGGTAGAGGAATTCCAAGACCATGAAGAGGCCTTTGAGCACCATCTGAGTGGGAGAGCTGACGGTGGGGACCTGTGTGGTTTCTTCTCTCCCATTCACCAAGGTCACCTTCTCCTCTTTCTCCAGCACAGCCTCCAGGTGCTTCTGTGGCAGGAAGGAGAAGGTTGGAAGAAAAGAAAGAAAGAAAGAAAGAAAGAAAGAAAGAAAGAAAGAAAGAAAAACACAAAAATAAGTAACAGGTACATTTGGCAACAACAGCACGGGAAAGACCTGCAAAGGTGTGCCTCCAGCCCAGCACAGGAGCACAGCACAGAGCGGCTGTAGGTCCCACTCCTGTGCAAAGGGCAAAAAGTGGACAGCAAACAACGTCAAGAAAACCCGTTGATTAAACTCATATTCTGCGAGAGGCAGCTGCCCGAGGTATTTTAGTGGGTAAACAGGCCTTGGAGTGCTTAACCCAGCAGGATGCCGTGCATTACCCTCACAAGCTGCAAATGGAAAAGACATTGCAGCGCCACTGCACTTGAGAAGTGGCAAGACATGTCTCGTGTGCTCTGAAGCAGGGCAGAGACACGGGGATTCCTGAGGCAATGTGAATGAACAACTCAGAACGGACGGCAGGAGAGCAGACGATGGGACCCAGGTACGTCACTTGGGATACTGCTAGGCATTGTGCCGTGGTTAATAAGGCTTACTCGCCAGCATTCCGGGCGAGAGCTATGTAAATTACATTCATCATCATTAACGTTGCATACCTCAACGTGGTCAGTGCGAAAGAGCGTTGAACAGGGAGATGTTCAATGGGGACCCACAGTACCCATTAACAGGAGGCACAAAGCGCTGTGGGATTTTGGAATAAGATGGCCAGATACCCTGGTTCAGCCTCAGCAACATGGCTGGCTTCAGGTTCTTTCAATAGCCTGATGAGATATTCAATCTGCTACTGAAAACCCCAGTGAACTAGATGGACTGAATGCCCCCTCTCTTCTGTAACCACCATGTTCTACCTGGGCCACTGGCGTGATAGTGCATGCCTCACTGACCTCACACCCAGCCCACTCTGGCTGGTCGGGCCAGTCTCCTGCTGAGGAGGTACAGCTCAGCCTCACCTGCAGGATGGGGAAGGTGGCTTCCGTGATCCCCAGCCCATGGAAGATGCCAAGGATCTCTCGGCCGCTCCACACCTTGCAGGCTGTCTCATACTCCCTCTCTTCCAGAGAACCACGGCTCTCCTCCAGCCAGCTAGGTGGGGAAAAAAGCCTGGGTTACAGACGAGATCGGCACGCGATTTTAGACACATTGAACACGGAGAGGTGCTGTGAAGATCAGTTTACTTCAAACACAAGAGAGCTCAGGTTTATCCTATCTTGCTGCAAAGAGAGAGGGGCATGAAAGAGCTCTACAAGGGTGCTCCGGTTTTCTCCCACAGCAGTCCAAAGACATGCCGGTGGGTTAACTGGCTTGTGGGAAAACTGGCCCCTGGTGTGAGTGAGTGTGTCTGCGTCTGATCAGCGATGGACTGGCGTCCTGTCCAGGGTGTACCCTGCCTTGTGCCCTTGCTTGCTGGGATAGGCTCCGGCTCCCCTGTATTGGATAAAGCCGGTCAAAACAATGGATGGACAGAGGAATGGATTTTAAAACGTCTACAAGCAGAGCACTTTTTTCCCCGTATGCTTCTCTCTAGTTAAGGACAAAGTGGTGAGGTTTCCACACACTGCCCACTGGGTGCTCCTGCTCAGGGACTCGTACTTGACCAGGCTGCAGCAGAAGGCTCGCAGGGGCTCGTGGTCAGCGCGGCGGATGTTGTGGTGGACCATGCTGTCCATCTCCTCGCGGGCGAACAGCAGCTGTGCCTGGGTGAGGGTGAAGCTGGCACACTCCCGGGCACAGTCCTCGATGTTGTGAGCCTCATCCAGTACCACCACCTGACCTTTCAAAGAGATGTCCATCTGCAAGGAGACAGCGCCATTGTTTGCATATATTGCCTTACAGCATTCACATTCACACCACACCCCCACAATTACAGGTGTATCTGTATAAAACTGATAGTTTTCTATTTTTTGTGGCTGTTGCTTGACCTCAAGCCACTGTTGCTCAAACACTTGGAAACTAAAGTGACCCTGAGCTACATTACATGCAACAGCTGAACCTGGAGACTCCAGTGGTAGTTCCCAGTTCCAACAGGGAAGTGTCCTCACTCACACTCTCCCTGATCTGTGGGTCCAGCAGGTAGTTGTAGGGACAGAAGACGATGTCGGCCTCCACCATGAGCTCGCGGGCGGCGAAGTAGGAGCAGGAGCGCAGCCTGCGGCCCAGACGCACGAGCTCCTCGATGTCCCAGGCCTGGTGCAGCCCGTGGCCCCACTGCAGCGAGTTCTGCTCCCGCATCTTGTGGACTCCGTGGTAATACCGGCAGGACTGGCCCTGCACACACCAGACACACACAACACAACACAACACAACACAACACAACACAACACAACACAACACAGTGCACTCAGCGCAGGAAGAGCAGGAACAGCTGTATCAAATAGTAGGGGGGCCAAAGGATTCGTCTGCATAAAACTAGCTAGCTACGGCTTTTTTTGGAAATGGGAAAAACTGCATTTTATATAACATTGAAAGGCAGCCGCCTCATTTCAGTTAATCCTGCACAGTAGTAATGGCAGGTTTTCAAAGGTGAGCGCACAGTTTGCTCAACAGCACCAGCAGCTCAGGGACTGGAGCTGCAGGGTTGGGTCTTCCTCCCTCTGCCCTTTGGGTCTTGTGTTAAGATAACAGCCTGAATCCCCCTCCATGCTCAGACCAAGAGCCTGAAAGGAGAACATTCTGCAGGCCTGACAGCCTCCATAATAATAACAGCCCTAGCACTAGAAATAGAAATAGCACTAGAAATAGCAACAACCACAGCCACAGCAATATGAATAAGAATATGGAAATGATGTGGAAAAGACAGGGGAAGAAACACATCCGTTATCACAGCAGGAGCAGCAAGCAACTGGAAGGCAGGAAGTGAGGCCCTGAGTGCGATCGCACTCCATGCTTGTCCTGTCACTCCCGGGCTGTCAGCCGGCCCCTTCTCCTCTGAAGGGTGGGACAGCGCCAGGCTCCGCGCAGACACCTGCGGGAGCGACACCCTGCTGTGTAAGTGGGGTTCATTACAAGCAGCGCCTCGCCCAGGAGCACCAACAATAAGAGCACAAGACACGCCCGGGGCCTCTGACACGACGGCATGACAGAACGCTCTGTATGACTGATTGAGCGCATTCTCTTGAGGTAATTGCCTGCCCGCGGCTACAGTCCCAGGATTGTGTGTGCAAATCCTTAAACGGGGGGTTTATGTTTCAGCCCCAGCAATCCAGGGCTGACTCATCTTTTTTTGTTTGTTATGCTCTCTCCAAGATAAAGGAATTGATCAATTCTGCCTGTTCACTGTGCATTCAGGTGGGGTGGATTGCTTCATCCGAGGGAGTTTCCTGCACTTGCTGACTTTATCCCCCTATACGGGCCGTGTTTGCAGCATCCCAGACAAGTTACCAAAGAGCCCAGCCTGTTACAGTCTGATCCCTGTCGCCACTGGGAACATCCACAGCGCAGCACTTTGGAAAACTCTCCAGGGCAAGATGTTACTCAGGTGTACATGAGAGAAAGAGTGTATTGACCTCAATGGAGGCATGCAGGCATCTCTTTGCTAACTCGTCTGAAAGTGTCATTCTGAGGTGCTGCAAACACGGCCCGTATAGGGGGATAAAGTCAGCAAGTGCAGGAAAGTCCCTTGGATGAATCAATCCACCCAATCCACCTGAATGTACAGTGAACAGGCAGAATTTTTAAATTCCTTTATTTTGGAGAGAGCACAACAAACAAAAAAAGATGAGTCAGCCCTGGATTACTGGGGCTGAAACATAAACCCCCCGTTTAAGGATTTGCACACGAAATGCTGGCTGGCAGCAGTCTACCTGTGGGAATACTGGGATAGGGGCGAAACAGGTTTGGGAGAGGTGGGGAGAGTGTGGTGACAGACAGCAGCCTGTTTAATGTGCAGAGAGGAAGCGCTGATATGACAGAAGAAGGGAGAGAGGGTGCAGTGAAACAGCAGAAAGATGGATCAGCGCAGCGCCGGAGAGAGACTGAGCAGAGACGCTGCGGGGCGATGGGCTGACTGGGGGGGACCGGGGTACCCCAGCACTCACCTCCCGGCTCTCCAGCAGCTCGCGGCAGCGCTCGTTGCGGTTGCCGCTGGCCGACACCTCCGGGTGGACGCAGGTGTGGTCGCGGCTGGACAGGATGGTCATGCGCACGCTGGAGTAGGCCGTGCGCCGCAGCTCCCGCGTGATCTGCGCGATCTGCTTGTGCGTGCGCGTCCCGAAAAAGATCTTGGGGACCCTCTGCTTCCCGCCGCCCCTGCCCTCCTCTTTCTCCTTCTCCTTCTCCTTGTGGGCCGGCTTGGTGGCGGCACAGGGGCACAGCCTGCAGGGCGCTGGAGCCTGGGCACAGACGGACAGAGCGGTCAGCAGGAGACGGGAAAAGTGGACAAGCTGAAGGGCAGACGCACATGAAGTCGGACAAATGCTTGTCCTGGCTGCAAAGGTGACCCGCCAGGCCTTCGCAGCCACAAAGGCGCACAGCCACCTGCACTTTCCTGGGTCACAAGAGGTACAGAGGCTGTCGGGACTTCTGTCACAAAGTCCACAAACAGTACAGAGCTAGATTTCATCACACATAGTAACTGCTACACCTAACTAAATTGGAAAGTCCTAAAACATTTTCAGACTTAAAATCTGGAGGACATGAAGCCAGTGGTGATAACAGTGAATTTCTTGCTATTTTACAAGCACAAGAACCGCAAACCTTTTATTACACAATATCTCAAAGCACTTTCGTACCTGAGCGAGGTACGCATTTTTTACAGAAAGATCCATCGTTTAGAAAGAACAAGGGCTCTGTTTTCGGAGCTTGAGAATGCCTTAGAGTAGCCAAGGCAGAAAAAGTGACAACCTGGTCTGCAAACAGAAATCTGAGACAGTCCCATTGTTGAAACTGAGTAATGAAACTGATTTTTAATTGAGGCGTTTAATTGCGGCAAGTAGATGACATTTCACTTGCAAGAGGAACGCAGCCTGAGGCTATTCTGTAACTTAATCCAGCGTGCTCAACAGCTCCCAAAGTGTGAGGCCTACTTTGCAAGGACTCACAGCAAAGGCAGCCCAAGGGAAAGAACACTGGCCTTCTAATAGGCTCTGTGTAACCAAGATAAACTGCTGACGACCTGCACAGATCCTTGACAGTCAATGACATTATTTCATTTCCTAGGTGGAGACGTTTGGCATGTGCTCATCTACAGGTACCCCACACAACCCTAGTGAAGCATGCCCGCTTCTTTCAACGACGGAAGTTAAGAGTCACTGTCGTAGCCGTCAATCCATATCAAACACAGAAGCTTTGTTTATTCATGTCTTATAATACAATTCTAATAAACCCTAATAAAAAAATCAGTTTTAGAGCTTGTTGCTGTATGTAATTATAAATGCCTCGTTTATTTGTAATTATACTTTCTGACACAAAAGTGGTCAAAACGAGGTTTCCGCTAGTTGCCAGCACACTGTGGGAAGAAATATTGCCTGTTTCAGCACGTTTCTGCGGACAGCACAGTCAAACACACGTCCTCCCAATACCATCTGTGGAAAACACAAGGGCTTATCATGATCATCATTTATATGTTTCACACACTTTAGAAATTGTTTGCACTGAGTACTGCGCACACGGACAAGAAAAGCCACACACTCTGCCTCTGTTAATAAATCATGTTTTCCCATTTCACAGCAGCATAACCACAACAGGAGTGGCAAGTATCTGGCCGCTGGAAAAGAAGGTCTGTGTGCTGAAACACCATGCGAGGTCTGCCAAACCTAACATGCTCAAATGTACTGAAACAAAGCCACCGGGAACCTAGTGCCATCCACTTGCGACTGCAAAGAATAGAATAATTATTCTAAAATACATTAAATCTTTCAACTTCATTCTTTGCATGTGCTAGGGCTTGCACGTAAACCGGTTGAAATCACTATTTGCAGGACCCCACCTCAGCATTTCAGCACTGGTGTTTTTATCTCAGCCCTATTGCTAAATATTTACATTCCGCCCCAAAGGCAGACACCAGCCACTTTCCCCTGAAACAGGTCCCAATAATAAATCCTCAACACTCTTCCTGCTTTCTTCTTTCTCTCTCTTTTCTTGTGCAAACTGTAATCAGTAAGATTATCCCCCATAAACAAACGCGAAGGCACGGCGTGTGTTACACCACAATACCAGGGATCAAGCTGTCTCTTAGCCTCGGATTCTGTGGAAAAGCTGGTTCAGGTTACCCGCAGTCCTTCTCAACCTTGTTTGCCATTAAATATTACAATGTGTGATAGAATGGAGGTAAATGTGACCCCTTCGAGAGCTGTCACTCACTAGGATAAAGGCTCTGCTGATGTGCCAAATAAACAGGGCCCTTGAAGCAGATGGGGTTTCAGCCCTGCTGGAATTGTTACACGGCCAGCTCAGGTTGCCTCTAACGGAGGATCACTTTACTCAGTGCTGCCACATTAAATAGCCTGTTCCAAATATCCTGCCTTCTATATGGAATAATTACTTATTCATCGAAGAGAATAAAAGGGGAGAGTTATGAATGGGGCCCTTGTCAGCGGCAGCACAGGAAACAGCTGACACAAGGGTATCCGTTACCCAACGCTCCGAGATGTCTGACACAGTTTCGGCTTCGCTCACATCGTAGTAGCGAGGAGACACCCCTGGAATGCACAGAGCAGCCCCGGCCCCCGGCCCCCGGCCCCCACCCCCTCCGCGATCCCAGCCCTGCTCCCACCCCCTGGGGCCGCGCAGCACCTCTCAGCAAAGGAAGCCTCTGCTCCTTCGCAGGAGCAGGTGGAGCGTCTCCAGGCTCTCAGTCAGAGCTCCTCTCCTCACAGGACAAGGCGTCAGGCCGTAAGGAGAATATAAGGAGCTACAAGACAAACGTCTTGCCTGTTTGGCAGCCAGTAGCGCATTGACCCAGGGACGTCATCCACCTACATATTGAAATGTCCAAACGAACCAGCTTCTGCCACCTGGTAGTTTGTTCCCACCACCCAAACCCCATTTTTATTAGCTAAGCTAATGTGGTTTATATTTTTACTTCATCGTCACATGAAATGACACCACAAGATATAAGCCACAGTGCGGCCCGTGCACATTGTCGCATTGTTGTAGACGACATACCAGCCCAGAACAGCGAACTGGGGAACCTGACGGTGAGCTCACCCTGCCCTTGATATAGCTGGGCGGCCTGCTGCGACAGACTCAGGAGTTTATCATTAGCCTGGATAACAGCACGGCTAACCCAAACTCCCTAGCACTGCCAGAAGAAATAGGCTTCTTTGCTTACTTGTTCTGAGCCTGACCACTGCAAGAAATGTTGTAAGCAGTCTGGGACGGGCGCTTACCGTTATGTAAATATTCCTCAAACAGACTAAGTAAGTCGTGCCTCCTTGAAACTGCCTGGTATAGACTATCACCAGCTCTCTTTCAGGAAAAGGCAAATATGACACATAAAGTCACTTGTTAAAAGAAATGTAAACATAAGTCTGGCAATGACAAGCATGTTGCAGTGAGGTGCCTGGTTATTATCCTGCTGGACTGAAGAGGGGGAGGAATGCTTTGAAAACAAAAATCCTGCTTCGCAGAATCAGAAGAATTTAAATGAGTATCCATTCAGGGTGTTTCTCACACTTGAGTGTAGTGGCTGCTGCTGCTTGGATGACTGAAAAGAAAGACTTTTGTTTTCTCGTCCTCCAGAGCAGTGCGGCGGAGCTGCAGGGTGCTTGCAGAGGGGAGAGCGAACCTGCAGCAGCGCCATCACTCTGCACAGGTAGCCTGATACCCTGGCGCTGCGGTTCGGCATGAAGAAAAGGCTTCTTTATACAACATTCCCCACTTTTTAGCCTGGTAACAAAGACACCGGGGCAAGCCGGCGCTGAGTTCCTGCTGTGTGAAATCTCACACTGTGAGCACCGTGAGGAGATAAGGGCGCAGAGAGGCGGCTCTGCAATGCTATCTCTGCGCATTTGGCTTTTCATTTATGATCGTGCCCTCTTGCTGCTGAAGAACAGGGGGTTAGTTAGGAGAGGTATGGGGGGGGGGGGTCTTCTCCAGCACCCTTGCCGGCCACAATCTCACGACAGACCCCTCACAAAGCACCTGTTTATCCCCCTCTGCGCGGTAACCAGCGGGTGAACCCGATTCAATATTTATCACGGGCTTTCACAGATCACCGCTAAGCGAGCAAACGTTTTAATTAAACTGGAGCCTGCTTCAAAGGCCCCTTTCAAGATGTCAATCAGTGAGCACGGGATCGAATACGGTGTCAGGTGAGAGAGTGTAACACTAGCTCTCCACTTTCCTCATCCCATGGCTGTAAATTAGCCTGCCCGCGGAGATCAGGCTCTCATTGTGACAGTCTGCCAGTCTCCAGGAACGTGTAACTGAAGTCACTCCGGGCCCATTGTACAGGTTGTAAGCAATATGTTAGTCTGTGTGATGGGCGAGCACATTAACACAGATTCTTTTCACTGCAGGCCTCTTGATACCGAGGGTGTTGGTTACAAGGCACTTGATTTTCTGTGTGCCTTCAAGAGCTGGCATGGAGAGGACTGGAGATCCCATTCAACCGCCTGGCAGACAGAGGGCCGCGCATTGTGACTGTTGCTCTTATCACTGCCGCTGCTACATCACATCACGAAAGGCCCCTAATGCTTCTTCTTCTTGAAAGGATCCCCCCTGCGAAAAGCACGAGTGGGAGTTTTCACGTAGACAGCCTCTACATCTCGCACCAGCTCATTTGAGTTTTGTGTCCTACGCACCACTGTCCCTTCACTCTGTGAAGCACTTTCAGATAGTGCACCGTACTAAGAAGCACAGCATGGCGTAAAAGAGTGTTTGTGGGAGCATTGGAAAACACTATACAGCAATAGAATGGAAGCTGATACCCTAGAAACCTACTAGACCCTTGGTCAATTCACTGCTACCAACGCACTGAGCTGGACAGACCAATTTTCCTCCTCTCACTTGTAACCTTCTCATGTCCTAAAAAAATGGATTGGGCAGCAACAGCTGAGGACGGCTTGATCACATGTTAACACACACGGTGCACTGGGGTGCGGTGCTGTGACGTGATGTCGATCTGTACCTCTGTAGAAATCCACCAGGTCAAGGATATTACTCAAGAACCGCAAACAAGAACCACTTCGCCTAAGGTGGCCTCTGGAAAATCAACCTGATCGATCCCTGCCCGGACCCCCCGAAACACCAACTCCAGGGCCATAGAAAACACCTGCTTTCTCCACTCACAGCGGAATATCTTAGATCAGCTCCTCCTATATTCAAAAAGCATAGCAAAAATGGAAATACACCAAACTCTCAAAAGCCTTGACACTGCTATTCATTTAGTGGAGTGTGCTCCCCTCTACTGGAGCACTGCAGTACTGCAACCACAGAGAAAGGTTTGGCCTTTTTTTATGCATCGACCTCTAATTTACTTCAGAAACATATCAAGGAAATAAGCAAAAAGCCCTTAGTTTGCATAGCTCGAGCTATTTCAGGTTTTTGAAGTTACATTCTCTGCAGTTTAAGTCAACACCGGGTACCGTCTATACTTGTCTTGTTTTGAATACATTTGAATAGACAGACATCTGGAGCTGCAAGAACATGATGTAAACATATAATATGCATTTGCTTCTCTGCTTCAACAGTAAAATTTCCAATTATTCTATCAGTAAGCAGACTGAGACTTGGGATTGCTGTACCAATGCAGCAGTGCAGACAGATTACCAAGCGACCTGCGGCTGCACTGTGAGCATGCCCTGAGGTGTGACAATACTCACAGGGCTCTGGGCCGCCGGAAAGGTGTCGGCTCTCTCCGCCTGCGAGCCGGGCTCCATACTCCAGCTCTGACCCCCGGGGCTGAGGGGTCTGCCCTCCGGCTCAGGGTCCTCATCGATGAACTGCACCCCCATGTCCAGGCAGCGCCGCTTCCTGCCCTGCAGGGCAACATCTGAGTCAACACACAGCTCTGCGCCCCTCCGCCCCTCCGGCCTGCACACAGGGAGGAGGAAGAGCCTGCCCTGCTCTCCAAGAGGACATCGGCTGCCTGCATCCCGCATGCAACAGACGGCCGTTGCCACAGGTCTGATATTCTCTTGAATGAAACTCTTCATTCACTCCCAGCTCAGGTGGAATGGGGTTTTGCATGGAAATAAAACAAAAATCAACAAAGCAAATTTGTTGTTTCTCAGACGCTGACCCTGAGAACTGGGGTGTTGGGTGAGAGCATGCTCCTGATTCAAACACTATGCAGTGGCACTGTTACTAACTAAAGCTGGGACAGGAAACCTGGGCTCTGTAGTTTCCTGCGTTCTTTCAGTCCACTTCATCACTTCCATCCAACAAGCGCTCTCACTCCGAAATCGACGCTGCTGCCGGGGGTGAAACAGTGGAGACCTAGTTCAAGCACAGAAGGGTCCGGACTGCCTCACCCCGGTCCGCGGAGATGGCGATACCTTGGAGTCCGCAGCTGGGGTGCGCATGCGTTTTCTGTCCTGCTGGAAGTCATCGTCCTGGTGCTGGGAGAGAGAGGCCTGGAGCCGCTGGGACAGCCTGGACGCCAGCGTGCTCTTCCGCTCGGGGGCAGGCACTGCAACACATCACAACCCCATCAGCCCCGGGCTGCTCGGCTTTCAGTCACCCCGCCTGCTGCACGGGGGCCGAAACCACTGATGGGCAATGAAATCATTTACAGAGTCTCCTTCTAATTTATTAATAGGAAAAATAAGCTATTGATTGGTGAAATAAGTGACATAGTTAAGAATTCTAAAAGTATGTGAGCATTTGCTTCTACCTCATATTACTAATTGAAACTTCAATACGTCACTCACTATCTCGGCTGCCCTTTGTTTGCTAAACCTGTTTGGTGATAAACTGAGATTTACAGCTGCGGATTAGTCAGCTGTTGAGACAGACATACCATCTAGAGCACAGTCTGATAACCCCTGCCGCACAAGTCTGCAGACAAGAATTATTTAACACCGCCCATGGAGCTCAAACTCTGCAAACCAATTTCTTTATAAACAGCGAGGAACAGCAAAATGTGAAACTGGAGGATTTTACTGACCTCTGTGGTTTCAAAGGGCTGTGCTGTTTCCTTTACAAATCCCACTATTTTATGCCAACAATTA